AAGCATCACAGGCGCTCAAGGCGACAGCCTCTTCTCGGAGGGTGAGAGCTCCCGCGGGACACGCTCTGGAGGAGGCTGCCACCTCAGGTGAGTGGGTCGGGACCCACTCCAGAAAAAGAGGGTCAAACGAGCAAAGGCATGGAAGCTGGGCAAAGCGTGGCGTGACCGGAGAACAAAACCCGGCAGTTTATTTCTTTAATGAGGAGTTTAATGTTGGGGCAGAGTATGCCGAGAGATCAAGCAGGGAGGTAGCTATGGTCCAACCACCGGGGTCCCTTCTTATCACTTAGGGACCATTGCAAACGTCACGCTCATCAAAGCCCATAATTCTTTCCAAGGTTGTTGCCTCGGTCCCTAGATGCAGATCACGTGACAGGGCGCTGGTCACAGACTCCCACGCTGGGTTTGTACCGCAAGGAAAGCTACCGCGTCTCTTTTCTCTTTGCATCCACCAGGCTCCAGTAAGAGCCGCTCACACTCAGCGCTCAGCATTTCTTTGTCGAAATGATGCATGAGTAAAGTTTCTGGCCACTGTTTCATAACCAAAGTGCACTGAGGTCAGGATGTTGGGAAACTGTCTTTGGCGGATTCCGACGATTCCTTACTTTTTTTTTTTTTTGCCTATTTTGACCACTCAGTGCCTGAATCAAATCTCTCAGTGGACCCAGTGAAGCCCGATGAGACAAACGCTTCAAAACAAGAGGCGAACTCTATCAGAGAGTAAGAGGAGGGGTGTCCTACCCGGACAGCCAGAGAAACGAGGCTGCACTGAAGTCCCCAGAGAGCTGTGAGGCCAGGGTCTGCCAGCAAGTCCCGGGACACACACGGCCCCCGGGGATGCCTTCGGGCCAGCGGGCCTGAGCTGCCCAGTCTGGAACAGAGCGGGGGCGAGGGCAGGAGCAAAGCCAGGTTTCGGTGCCAGTGGATGACGTGCACACCACACTCCTTTCTCAGGTCCGGCTGGGGGAGCCCCAGCCCCTCGAAGGCCCGGCGTTCACAACTGGTAGCCCAAGTCTCTAAGTTCCCGCCAGTTTCCAGGACCACGCACGGTTTTAGCAAGAGCGAGGATCAAGAATGGCATCTTCTGTAGCCACCTGGGTCTGAGCGAGCACATAGCATGCTCCCTGGCGTCATTCCCTCTCGCAGTGTCCCAGTCTACGTTAGACTCAGGACCGGGAGGATCACTGGACTCTCCTGTGGCCTGGCCTGGAGCATTCCCCAGTGGGAAAGTGGCCGCCAAAAGCCACCCACTCACCAGCTCCCATACTGGGGATTCACTCCCTGCTTTGGGCCAGTCCTGGCCACAAGGGCTGCCTGTTTTCCCCTCTCCTTACCAGAATCTGGGGTTTCCTTTGCTTTTCTCTTGAGCTCCTGTGTTCACTCTTGGATAATACATTCAAGATGTGACTGTCTACGTCCAATTGTGGTTCTCCTAAATGGATGAGGTGTGCAAGAAATGCTCCCAGTGGGGCACCTTGGAAAAAATATCCCCAACTATTCCCTGATTTAAAGTAGAAAACCAGAAAGAAAAAAATGAATAATCATAATGTAGTTTAATAGCTGTTCTTCTAGGGGTATGTATAATGTGTTTTATTCCTTATTTGCTAGTTAGTCCCTATTAGTCATCTTTAAAATTACTGGACAAGGAAGACACTCTCCAACATAATGAGTAAGTAAGAGCTGATTGTTCCAGTTCTGTTCGACGACTGCTCCGCTTTCAAGTTTTATTGCCTCTTATTGCAAACTAGGTAATGCTATCATGCCCACACTGTGTCTTTCACAATAAAGAAATAATTGCTTGGTAGGTTTACATCCAAAGTAATGTAATTTTTTGTCTTTCCCAGAAAGACAGTTAAGACAGGCTTCCAATCACCAGATGTTCTGTGTATTTTAATATCTTATACCATAGATGTGGTTGTTGAAAAACACTAGGGTTTGGTCATTTGGTTTTCTTCTAGTTGTCACAGCAAGTGGAAAACACTTACTAGTGTCTATCATGTTAAATGTTTTCCATAACTAGCTGTCTGCACCCAAGCTTTGGGTTGTGGTTCTATGTAGGGGAAGTTCTGGGTTTGGGGCTGTGTTCTTAATGAGTTGCTTGCTAGCTCAAGAACTGTGGCCATGGGTGTTGGAAAGCTATCTGCTCTGAGAGTAAAACTCCAAGTAAAGGGAAGGAAAGTAACATTTGTTTACTAGATTCTGACTCTGTGTCAGAACACCGGCTGAGCCCTATTATATTAGTACGTGTGATTTACTCCTCTCAGGAGGCCCATGAGGTGGACGTTATCGCTCTTGGTTTGCAGGTGAGGAAGCTGAGGGGGCTGAGGGTCATAGAGTCATAGTTGAGATAAAAACCAAGCCTGGCATACTCAAAAGCCCATTAGGATAAAAAAGCTAGTGTCTATAGGAGTACGGGGGAAAAGCCATATGGGAAGAAGAAATGAGTATAAAACAGCTAAGTACACTGAATGTCAGTGTGTTTGCTTTTTTACAAGCCCCCTAGGATACGATGCATTTTCTACCCTGAAACTTAGAAGCTGAAGCAGGATGTACCTGGCTGAAGCAGGGTGGGCGGTGGATGGAAGGAACCTGCAGCTGAAAAGGACCCAGAATCTCAGCGAGTCAGACAACGTCCCATTTGCTGTGACATCTCCCTTCAAAGCCTTTCCTCATGGAGCTCCCAGAGACCGCGACCCAGGTCAGCGGTGGCCACTGAGACGGAAGGAAGCCCACGGGCAAAGGGTGTGACTATGAGCTGGTCCCCAGCACCTGGCTCTGCCGCTCTCCTGGTGTCTTGTCTAGAGCGTGGGCTCCGATGTGGAGTGTCGAAGCTTGACTCTTATTAATAAACTAGAATAAGAAAGAACTAGAGGGGTGTTCGTAAAGTACATGTCATGATTCATCAGTGGGTTAAGAGAAAACTTTATAGGATTGTGGCCAACATCTCTGAAAAAGTGGAAAATAACAGGGTAGGATAGTATCAAATATAAAATATCAGGCCACACAGTAAAAAACAAGTGTGTTATATTGTGAATTTGTTTTTTTGTGTGTGTGTTTATGGGTATATATGATAATAGATACATATATGCATGCATACACACATACATACATACCTACACATGCAATGCATATAAACATACACAGGACTTACATATGTATAAGTGAATGCCAAATCATATTGGGTAGCGATTCATTCTCTGGCCAAGGAAAACTTTTTCTATTACTCTGCGACTTGGTTTCCTATCTGTAAAATTGAGACAGGAATGTTCCCTAACCAGTTGCAAAGCAATTAAGCAAATACTAAGTGTTTTCTTTAGGATTATGTGCAAATAAATAGCATTTTATCGAAAATGAGCAATTCACCTTATGACCACATCAAATAACTAATATTTTGAAAAAGAAAAAAGACATTTTTGAATGGTGACGTTATGAATTTATAAAAAAATATTTTTCTCTTTATTTCCTCTACATTTTCTCTTATCTATAATAAATATACATTGTATTTTATAATGAAAATACGGTTATGTCTTTAATAGCAACTACATCTTCAATGTTCTATGCATTACAGAGGAAATTCTCTTTTTACGACAAAGGCCTTATATGGAGAAGAAGCAAAAATTACAAAAATACAGAACCACTTCCAAGAGCAGCATATGCTCTGGTAGTTTTGCTTTATTGATAGGAGCCGGGACTGTGCAGCGAATGCCTCCTTTGTGGACAATTTCTGGTGACTGCCTCCAACCAGTAGGGCGGCAGGGTGGGGGCTGGAGTTCAAGTGCATTTAGTCTTCATCACTCTGTGAACATACAGCGAGTTGCTCTGTGACTTAGGCTTTTCCCAGCAGGAAAGCCCTCTCCCAATGCCCTTGCTGATAAAGGAAGCAACTCCAAAGTGTTCTCAGAATAGTGTTAGACCAAGGTAAACCGAAACAAGAATTTACGAGCCACCAGCATTCCATCACTGGTTGACTTTGTGAAATTTATTTTGGCCTTTGACCCTTTGAGCGACATCTACTAATTGTTGAATACAACTAAGCACGTTTTTTTGAGCAGACAGTACATGGGAAATGGGCAAAAAAATACTATACCACTCACACCTCATTTCCAATATTTTCTGCACCAAAGTTCATTTGATTTGAAGAAGTTTATTGCTATTGCAACCTTGTCTGCTGCTTATCACCAAAAATTCCTCTGTTAAATGCCTTCTTCAACACTCCAAACTGAGTGGGATGCTGCAGTGAGAGCAATGTTGAGAGCAGTAATGTAATTAATATTTGCTAATTTTTGAGCACAGACTTTGTACGAGGAACTATGCCACGTGTTTTGCATGTCTGATCTATTTAGTACAATCGGCCTCCAGAAGCTGGGAAAGGCAAGGATATACAGTCTTTTCTAGAGCCTTCAGAAGGAGCACAGTTCTAAGGACATCTTGATTCCAGCCTTATTTTGGCCTTGTGACCTCTAGAATTGTAAGTTAATAAATTTGTTTTGTTTAAGCCACTGAGTTCGTGGCAATTTGTTACAGTAGCAATAGGTAACTGATATACCCATACCGCAACAGCTTTTCTTTCTCCCCAAAGTATATAGCAGTGTCTTCCTAATGGATGAATGAAAACACCACCTGGCACCTCTCCTGGTTTCCGCAGTCTTAATATCTCCAATGTTAAGGAATCCATGGGGACTAATGCAGAGTCTGATTTATTTACTATTTTTTAAAAGCAGTTTTGCAGTGCTTTAGTGCTATTTATATTTATTGGCAAAGCTAATTATAACATTAAAGCAAATATGTAGGTATGAGGTAAGACAATCATGTAAATATACCAATATGTATCAGCCAACATATGACACCAAGCAAAACCAGTCTTTATCAAACCAGCCCTTCCTTCAAAATGTTTTTTGCTTAAAAGTCTGAAAATTTATTCTTCTATGAAATGGCGAAGTGTCAGCACTATCTTTTGTTCTATCTATCATTAAGAGATATTTTGACTAGAACACAGCTTAATTTATTTTGTTTATTCAAGATTAGGAGAATACAGCGAACAGCAGAAAACTCTTTCAGTTCGATAGAAAGTAAAAAGGAACTGGAACGCATTATATAGCAAAGGTACAGATTTAGGTAGCTAATAGCTAAATCTCCAAAAGTTTCTTAATTATTTTCTTATACCGGGAGGCCTGCTGGTCCAGGCAAATTTTCTGTCCATGCTTCAGCGTGGCTCTGCCGGGGAAAAGAGAAGAGGTGAGACTGTCGGTCCTTGGGTGTGAGGATGGGCTTAGGCAGGGAGGGTGGCAGAGCAGGCACAGGGTGGGCCTGACCGCAGCCGTGCAAGGACTCACATCAGTTGCGCAGTGGGGCAGTGGGGTCCCGCCTTGATCACCTCCAGGCTGGTGACGAGCCTGGGAGGGATCCCGGAGACGGTCTTCACACACAGGCACTGCAGGTCTCCAGCTCCTTCTGCAGGGTCGGCTGAGGGTGGAGGGGAGGTGGGCAGACAGACAGGAGTAGGGGAGGGTGTGGTGATTCCGTAAGTGGCCAGAGGGACCTTGGCGACCGTTTGCACGAGCTTAGGTCCCCCTTTCCTGAGCCACAAATCACACCTCCCTTAGAAAGAAGGTGTGGGGCTTGTTGGGAACGTGAGCACGCAGCACTGGCCGGCACGCGTAGCAAGCACGCAATGAGCGCGGGGCGTCCTTGGCGCTGAGGACTCCTCCCAGCCCAGGGCCTTCCCGGGGTGCCCTCCCTGCAGCTCCCATCCAGGCCCCTTCCCTCCTTGCTTCTGCTCTCACCGCTGGCGCCCGTGCTGGTGGCCACGGCAGCTGTCAGGAGCAGCAGCCCCAGGAGCAGCGGCCCGGGGCCGGCCCGGGGGGCGACGCCTGCGCCCGCGGGGAAGCTCATGGCCTGGAGGTCGCACGCAGCAGGATCCAGTGCGCAGGGGAGGTGGAGCTCCGAAGGCCAGTGGCGGCAGGACCTCGCCAGGAGCCTTTAATCTCCCCTGTCCTCCCCTGCCGGAAGCCTGGGGTGGACGGTAAGGAAGTGCCTTCTGGAAGCTAAGACCCCGCTGTGGAGAGCTGGGCTCTGGACAGCCAAGATTAGAAAGTGAACAACTAAAAAAGCTCAGCAAAAGGCTGTGGTCAGCTTCCTTGGCTGGGAGCTGGTGGAAAATCTGCACCTCCAACGGAAAGAAACTTGCATACGTGCACACTGTGGGGTGGGAGCGGCACTTGAGTCTCCCACGCTGCACGTGTCTCGCTGATGTGCGATGGCGGAGTTCCCTGTGGTCGTGCAACTCGCACTGCAGATACCCTTCGGGACCCAGACTGTCTCCTTCCCAACTCCCAAGGGCATTACCCAGAACTGCCTTTTACTGAAATGCTGGATTCGCTCTCTAGGCAATGGCTGGAGTCTTTCCCGGTCTCTCGCATGGTGCCCACCCGGCTCCCCCGGCAATCCTCCGGCAGACTGTAGCAGGCAAGGTCCTCTGTCCCCGCTACTCTTAGAGCAGTCACAGTTGGCATTTGGGTGCGTACTCCGTATGCCTGGGCGTCCCTCCATTGGGTCCTCCTGGATAACAGCCCAGGAGAGAGGCACGGAGAGGTCGCAGGGCCTGTGTCCCGGAGCCTCGTCTCCCAGAGCTGCTGCGCCCTCCGCGGCCTCCTGCTGCCGGGAGGGCCGCACCGCCCGCGGGAGCCCGTCCTCTCCGGCGGGACGCAGGGCGCCTGCTGAGTGTCCGCGTGGGGGCGGCGGTGGACTCCCGCGCAGGAAGGCGGGGAGAGCAATAGGGGCTGTCTTTCCTTCCTGGAAAAAGAAGGACTTTTTCTTTTCTTTTCTTTTCTTTTCTTTTCTTTTCTTTTCTTTTCTTTTCTTTTCTTTTCTTTTCTTTTCTTTTCTTCCAGTCTCCATGGAGACTGTCAAAACTTGCCAATGCCGACTACATTGCAAGTCGTCGTGTGTGTGGGGTACTGGGGAAAGTCTTCAGTTGGCAATCATCACACCTTGCGTAAACCCTACTGGCTATGACACTGCCACTGTGAAGCTGAAAGACAAACACGTCGCTTGGTTGCTGATCAGGGCAGGCCCCCCCAGCCCAAACCCGAGGCTCTCTGCCACGCCGGCTAACGGTGGAGGGGGGAGTCAGGCCCTCTGCCCGGAACTGGCTGATGTCCTCATGCTCAGCAGGCCCAGACTTCTGCAGGACTAGCAGTTTAATTATTGGGCCTGGAATGTTCTTTCTCCTGCTATCCCACCACACGCACACGCCTTTTCAGCTGGCTCAGTCCTGTTCCTATTTCTGGTGCCGGTTGAATATCCTTTCCTGGGAGGGGCCTTCCTTGACAACTGTATCTAATTATGTTCCCTTGGTTTTCTATCTTGTACCACCTTCTGCTTTTCCTGTTTCTTATGTATGATACAAACACACACACACACACACACGAATTATACTCACAGATATGTGTGTATGTGTTTAAAAATGTTTGAAATGGTTCCTTTCCCTAGATTGAAAACTCTATGAAATTAGAGGTCATAAAGTTTGTCACTGCTTGAGCACACCAGTAGGGACTGGACTCCATAAAAAGCAGCTTTGCCAGTGAAGATAATGTACTGAAAATGGTGAGGAGGAGGCTTCGATGTGTTCACGTGTCTGTTCCTTCATCCAGTTGCAGCACAACTCTACATGAACTTGAGTCACACGTGGTTAGAGTTATTTACCTACTTGTCTGCCTCTCCCGCTGGATAGTGACCTCTTCGAGGGCCATTTGTTGTGACTTGTTACAGTCGTGCCACGTAAGGACATTTAGGTCAATGATGTGCTGCGCATATCATGGCGCTCCCATTAAGATCATAATGGAGCTGAAAAATTCCTATTGCCTAGCGACATTTTCGCCATAATAAAGTCCCAGCACCCAAGGTGTTACCAGTGGTGAGCAAGCAAACCTGCTGTGCTGCCGTTTGTATAAAAGAATTCCATGTACAATTATGTATAGTATATAATACTTGATGATGATAATAAAAAACTATATTACTGGGTTATGTATTTACTATGCCATAAATTGTATCATTATTTTTAGAGTGTACTTCTTCTGCCACTTGTTTTAAAAAAGAAGTTAACTGTAAAACAGCCTCAAGCAGGTGCCCCGGAAGCATTCCAGAAGGAGGCATCGTTATCCCTGGAGATGACTGGTCCATCCATGTCACTGCCCTGGAGCCCGCCCGCTGGGGCAGGACGTGGAGGTGAAGCCAGTGACGCTGCTGGTCCTGACCCTGTGTCGGCCTAGGTGTTTTTATGTCTTAGATTTGAACAAAAATGCTTAAAATGTAAAAAAAAAAAAAATTGAAAATTTAAAATACTAAAAAACTTCTAGATAAGGATATAAAGAAAATATTTTTTACACCTATACAATGTGTTTATGTTTTGAGATAAGTGTCATAACAAAAGAGGCAAAGAGTTGAAAAAAATTGAAAGTTTATAAAGTAAAAAAGGTACAATAAGCTGAGGTTAATTTACTATTGAAGAACGAATTTTTTTATAAACGTAGTGTAGCGTGAGTGCACAGAGTGTACAAAGTGCACGCAACGCACGGTAGCGTCCGAGGCCTTCCCCGGCACTCGCCGCCCACTCACCGACTCACTCAGAGCTACTTCTAGTCCTGCAAGCTCCCTTGGTAAGTGCCCTATGCAGGTGTGCTGTTTTTCATCTTTTATTATTATATTTTTACTGAACCTTTTCTATGTTTCAATACACAAATACTTGCCGTTGTGTTACAATCGCCGACGGCACTGAGCACAGGCACGTGCTGGACAGGTGTGCGGCCCGGGCGCGCGGCTAGCTCCACCCGCCCAGGTGTGGCGCGGGCGACAGCGCCCAGTGAGTTCACTGTGGCGTGTGAGCAACACTGAACTTGCCTAAGGGTATAGTTCTCAAAATGGAGCTCTGTTGTGAAGAAAGGCACAACTGTAGCTTTGAACATATGGTATCTAACACTATGGCTGTCACAAAATGTATTGTAATTATAGTCGTTTGTGGAACTGAAACTTGAGGCTCTGTCTGGGTTTGCAACAGAGCAAATGCATAAGAGAGATGGTTTTGAATATGTGCAACTTTGGCCAGGCTCAGTGGCTCACGCCTGTCATCCCAACACTCTGGAGGCCGAGGTGGGTGGATCGCTCAAGGTCGGGAGTTCGACACCAGCCTGAGCAAGAGCGAGACCCCAGCTCTACTATAAATAGAAAGAAATTAATTGGCCAACTAAAAATATATAGAAAAATTATCCGGGCATGGTGGCGCATGCCTGTAGTCCCAGCTACTCAGAGGCTGAGGCAGTAGGATCACTTGAGCCCAGGAGTTTGAGGTTGCTGTGAGCTAGGCTGATGCCACAGGCAACAGAGTGAGACTCTGTCTTTAAAAAAAAAAGAATACGTACAACTTTATCCCTAGACTTCAGAATTTGCAGCATAAAGCAATTGAAGCCATAGTGCGTGGTAATTAAATTACCCTTTCTCTGTGTCTCAGCAGAGTGACCCAGTACGCACACACACACACAAATAGAAGACACCTGCACCTCATCACATGTGAGCACAGCACAGACCCTGGGTCGCGTCTCGGGTCCGGCCCTGTCGGGTTGCAGGGGAACCACTGTGGACACGAGCAAGATGCCAGAGCTATTTTGAATTACTGGAGAAAAAAATAATGAAAATGATCACAGTCCTTACTTATTGCTTTATGACACGTTTATGTGTGAATATTTTCGATTAACTATTACTTAACACGTGTGTTTATTTTATAGAGAAAACATTCTAAGTCACTGAGCCTGTGGAGGTGAGGAGATAATAAAAGGAGGCTTAATAATGCAGAATGTGTGAGCTGCGTGCTCAGTACACAGGTGCTGCCCAGAGCCCATGCTTGGGAGGGAGGGGTGAACTCACTTCCTCTCCTATAGCCAGTATGGTCTACACAGCACGCTATTTGTGCGTCAGTAACACTATATATATATATAGTAAGTTCTTCAATAGAGAATGAGGGATCACAGAAAGCAGTGTGGTGTAGTGGTTGAGAACAGTCTCAAATCCCCAGCCTCACCTACTCAGTGGCAAGTTTTTATTCTCTTTAAATTTTGCTTTTCTTGTCTGTAATACGAGGAATGCTAATAATAATAATAACAAATAATTACTCACATTTATATATGGGTCATAGCATGACATGCATGATTTTAAACACCTTGAATGTGTTAACTGTTTTAATCTTCATGTCAACTCTACGAGGCAGGCAATATATTATCCTCATTTTAGACAGGACAAAACTAAGATCCCCAAAGAGATTAAGCAACCTGACCAAAGTCATATAGGTAGCAAATGGTGAAGCCAGATTACCTAGCTATTCTGAATTCAGAGGATGTGCTTTTAACTAGAGCATAGCTGTCTTGTGACAAATCGCTTAATTCCTGTAAGCAAAACCCTTAATGTGCCTGTTATATTAAATGTGATTGATGAGTTTGAGCTATTACTGTACTACATTAAGAATGGCAGAGATCATGACTACTGTTGGCCATATCGTGAAAAACCAAAGTGCAAAAAAAAAAAAAAAAACGGAGAGAGGAGAATTAATGCTTTTATCACAATAGTTCTGTTACAATTAATAACATATTACAGCAAATCAAAAGCAAATTTTGATTTCATATTAATACTTCTATAAGAATAATGTGGCTATACATTGTAGTAGTTAGGAAATGAATGAAAATGTGTTGAATAAAAAAATTTAGCAGTCTACTAAAGCTTTACCTCTCTATAATACTTATTTGTAAGGTCAAGTCTAATATTAAAATTGTAACCATGCAGATATTAAATAATGGCAAATATATACAAACATGTGAAGTAAAACATTTAAAAACAAGCTGTTCTTTCTTTATTATTGCAGAAAATACTGGCGTCTTTCTTAATGGAATATATTAATGCTTTTTCATTATATATATTTTTGCTCTGCTAGTATTAAATATATTCACTTTAAAGGAAATAACCACGACTGACAAGACTCACATTCTACAACTTTATTATTTTTAGAGTTTGAAGGCTAAAATTAACATTAGAAAAACCTTTCAGAGAATGCTTTGAAGCAAGACATACAAGGACAAAGACCTTGAAGAACTCTATGAAGTCCCTAAATACGACAACAAACATCTATTAAGCAATTATTCTATTCTGGGATCTGTGTGATTCCTAGTGTCACTGACCATTATAAAATCTACTAATCATCATGGGCATGTCTAGCCTAACAGCAAAGTAGAGCAAGAAATTTAACATCAATATATTTGGAAAGGAATTTTCAGATAAAGAAATTGCAAAGCACTGTACAAGCTTTATCCAAGAATTAGGCAGTAACCCATATATTAGCTGTTGAAACTAGGTTTGCTTATTTTCACCTTCTTTCTGTCATCTTTCACTCAGCCTTCTCAGAATAAAATGTGATTTTTAACACAGAATGGAAAACACACCCAAACTTTAATATGGTGAGAATAGGTATCCTGGATAAATTAAGAAGTCCAGAAAGTCAAAGCTTCAAATTCCTGCACCTCCTGGAAGGTGAAAAGATTTCACAGACAGCGAACAGGTCAAGCAGCTGATCCATCATCTTTCAACATTTTCTGGACTATTTTCTTGACCATTGGGGCTTCCGGGTTCAGGCAGACTTTCCTTCCACCCTTCAGCGTGGCTCTGCAACAGAGAGCGGGATAGCTGCGTGCCCGGCCCGAGCCCCAGGACAGGTGAGTCGGGGAACAGCGGGGGTGTGGGGAGGTGTGGGGGCGGCGGGGGCGGCCCTACGGAGGCCATAACACAGAAGCGGGGACTTACATCACTTCCACTTTGTTGCAGTGGGCGCCTGGCTTGATAATCTCCAAATTCTGGATGTTCTTGGGATGAATTTCAGAGATCGTCTTCACACACGTGCAGCGCAGTTCAAGGTACAGCTGAACGTCTGCAGATTCCCCAAGGCACAAACGTGACTCCGCCACGGTCATGGTTATTTCCGCGCCTCCCTTATTTGCAAGGGGAGGTGACGGACCCCGTGAGGCCACTGCGAGTACGGTCTGCGAGGCTCTGTGGAGCCCGGGCCGCACGCGGGCGGGACGTGCCGGGCACGGGGCGGCCCAGCCGGGCGCCACGCCGCCCCCAGACAGGCCGCCGCGGACGGACGCAGCCGCAGCGCAGGGGCAGGGCTCCCCCTCCAGCGTCCCGGGGTCCTCTTACCTTCTCTGACGTAGGTGGGAACCACGGTGGTCAGGAGCAGTGACAGCAGCAGCAGCAGCTGCAGGACGCGCGCGGGCCTGGCCCTGGCACAGGAGGCGCGGGCGCTGGGGCGGAGGCCCATGGTGGAGGCCGAGCCGGAGCTGTTTCCAGAGCCAGGAGACCTGGGCGCAGGGTGAGTGGCTGCCGGACGTCTGCAGCTAAGTGGCTTCTCATGCCCTCCAGATGTCACTTATATGCAGTCCCTTGAGGCCAGTAAGCAGGAAGAGGCAGGGAAGGGCAGGGGAGGGCATTGGTGATCTACAAGCTGTGCTGAACCCAAATAAAGACGAGGTAGGTCAAAATTCCTGCTCACTTGCAATCTATGCACCACTTCACATTCCTACTCTTTTCTCCATTCCTGTCTCCCTTACACATACATGTAAAGCACTCTGCTTAAGTAAGAACTAGGCTGAATGCTACACGTATGTCCTTTGTATGACAATGTGACAATATGCCCTGCCGTTCCTATAGTGCAAAGCCATTGTCCTAATCAACACACGTCTTATCACGAAAGATACATCGTCAGCACGGTTCATGGGGAAGTGCCAACAAATTTCTTGTCATTTAAATTTTACAAACATATTAGCCAGCATTTGATATGAAGCAATTTTTTGCTATATTTCATTTATTCTAAAAATATTGGTTGAGCATCTGTTGTATTATGTGCCAGGCATTATGAAGTTCTCTTCTTTGTGTGACTGGTCATTTATCTATTTCTTTTTTAAAAGCGAGACCTAAAATATTTCTGCAATACAACGGGATATAAAGAAAGAATAGTCTGCCATCACTACTACTCTTACAGCTCCTACTGTTAAGTGGCATTACTGTCATTTATGTCATTTTCTTCAATTTCCATGATGAGAAACACAATACCAAGGGTGATGAACTGACTCTATGAAAGTGTTTAAAAGGTATTTTAAAGTCAGTTAGTCGGTTAAAATAAGTTAGCTTATACAAAATTATGTTTTAAATGAATGCTAGGAACAGAAACAAGTGTCAGAGGCTCTTGGGTTTTAAAATAACTTGACAGTCCTTTTTATGAATCTTACATTGTCACCCTAGGTTTTTGTGGTGGGTGGTGGTTAAGTTATTTTATCTCTTTTCCCTTTAAGTCCTCTTATAAATAGTGTCATTTAGGAAATGAGCAAGTTTTCTAAGACACCAAACAGAACTTATCTACTAGCTATAAAAAAAAAATATCTAGAGACACTGGAAGAACATTATGCATTAAAATTGAGACATTAAGATTAGCTCCTGGCCTTACAGGGAACATTTGGAGCTGACATTTCCCAAATTCTTTTTCCAAGTATATAAAACAAGAAGCTGTTACCTGCAAGTCCATCATAGAAGCAATTGATACAGAAGATCCTAGAAAAATGTTGGGTCACTTTGTTAAGTATTTAATCAGTAAGTTGAAATACTAGCCAATAAAATAATTTCTATAAGTGCTGAAAGCAAATGTGGTTTCTCGGAGTTGACAAGGATTGCCAGACCTCAATTACTCTGGTACCCCAGCTAATTGAGGTTTTGTTGCCTACTGCCTAGAGGTGAGGAGCAGGCTGGGAGTGGGGTACAGAGGGAAGGGTAGAGAAGGTTGAGGGGGATAGTTTCCTGGGTGTGATTACATAGTAGTTCTGCTAAGTTTTGCAGGGCTAGAAATTGTATTTTCATTTTATGTTGATTAATATCACCTGCTGAATCTCAAATGCATGAGTTTCACTACATATTTATTCATTTGAGGACATTTTAATGCAATGTTGTTCTAGGGCCTGGAAACACATTAAGAATGTTTATAGCAGCACAATTTACAATTGCAAAGATGTAGAAACAACCCGAGTGCCAATCAATACATGAGTGGATTAAGAAAATGTGGTATATGTATACCATGGAGTTCTACTTAGCCACAAAAAGCAATGGTGGCCTAGCACCTCTTGTATTATCCTGGATGGAGCTGGAGCCCATTCTACTAAGTGAAGTATCATAAGAATGGGAAAACAAGCACCACATGTACTCACCATCAAATTGGTATTAACTGATCAACACTTCAGTGCACATGCAGTGGTAACATTCGTCGGGTGTCGGCAGGTGGGAGAGGGGAGCAGGGGATGAGTATATTCACACCTAACGGGTGTGATGTGCACCGTCTGGGGGATGGACATGCTTGAAGCTCTGACTTGGGTGGGGCAAAGGCAATATACGTAACCTGAACATTAGTATCCCCGTAATATGCCGAAATTAAAAAATTAAAAATTAAAAAAAAGTTATTACGAAGCACCAGCAATCTTTTTTTGCAGTGTAACATAACAAGTCAGCCAGTATTACACTTAGTGGCTTAAAACAATAATTTACTTATTTCTGAAAGTTCTGCTTGTTAATGAGAGGCTCTTCTGCTGAGCTCACTTAAGTGGGTGCAGTCAGAAGCAAATAAAATTGCTGAAATGTCAAAAACGTTCTTACTCACATGGGAGGTATTTGGCCCTGGCTGCCAGGGGAGGTTTCTGCTGGGCCACCTCTGCCTTTCTCCTCCTCTTTTAAGTAGCATTATTTTATGTCTCAGCAATAACAGAAATGGGGGGGAGGAAGAGGAGGGAAGGAGAAAGAAAGGAAAAGGAGAAGAGGGAAGTCGAATGTAGAAAATAAAAAAGAATTTAAAAAAAGACAAGATACAGCCTGTCTACTCCCTCCTGCTTTCTTCATCCTCTCCTCCCCTCCCCTTCCTCTCCTCCCCTCCCCTCTCCTCTCCTCTTTCCTAGTCCTCCCCCCATCTCTCCTCCCCTTTCTTCCTCTCCCCTTACTAGAAAGTTCCTGGGAAAACTGAATATATTTGCTCCAAAAAGACCTTAACTTAGACTAAAAACTCTTCATAATCTCCAAATCATAAAAATTTACTGATATCTCCTGTATCATTTGCTTTTATGATTGATTTGCAGGTGGATAGTTTATTTCTTTTATACTTGGAGGAATTTGGAAAATGTTCGCTCAAAATGTTCTGTGTAAAGGAGAGATAATCTTAATGTCTTCATTTTAATGGATAATGTCCCGCCAGTGTCTCTACATATTTATTTTAATAGCTAATAGAAAAGGTCTGCCATGTAACAAGATTATCAATAAATGTCAACAAATTGATATTTGATGGATGTTTATATGAAGGGAAATACAATTGTTATAGTTTCTATAAATTGACAGAGAATATATACAAAACATACAGTTTCCAGAGCTTCTTTAAAAAGACTCAGAGAAACAAAACTTTATGAGCACTAAAAATTAATTATTTATACATACGTAGAAATAATATAGATAAATACAAAAAATAAGGGTCTGGGTTTTCTCGTTTGTAAAATGGAGTTTGGATTAGGAGACTTGGGAAAGGGACTATTGAATAGTATCTATCGAGCATCTACTATCTTCCAGGATAGTGCCTGTGAGATAGATAGTATACTGATTTTACAGATGAGAAAACTGAGGAATGGAGATGTTAAAGCAAATTGCCAAGATCTCATAGGTAGAAATACTCAGAACTGGATTTCAAATGCAATTGCTCTGCCTTTGTTCTGCACCACAAACTGGAAAGAAGTATAACTAGCCCCTCTTGCTGTCAATAAGTCAAGTATTTTTTTTCCCCTTTGTCCAATCCTAGGGATGGATCAAAAACAAACATCATAAATTTATGTGAGGGCAAACATGCACTAAAAAGGCAGATTTTCCCAGGGAAAGGTCCTTGTAATTTCTCTGTATTTAAGAAACAGGACTCTAGAATTTGTAGAAACAAAATTTTAGCCATGAACTCTAGGTCTTTCTGTGTTATTACCTCCCCCCCTACATATTGGAAGTATGAACAATTCTTCTTAATACTGTAATATTAATTTTGCTAAGAATGAATCAGAATTGTCAGCCAAAATCAGAATCATTCTCCTTCTTTTCCTTGATTTAGTCAGGGAGACAACTAGAAATCCCCACCTGCTCTTTATGTAACACCCAGGAAGAACTTCTGACTACTCACAACAGGAGAGTAACCCACAGCAATTCTTTTCCTTATGCAAGGATTAAAACTATGATACAAAAAGAAAGCCACTAACCATGTTATCATAGATCTTGTCATGCCTTCAGGAATTGAAGGATTATGTGAATGTGTCACACCAGGCAGGAAAGTCTGGTAGAATGGAGGACATTAACTATGTGTTGGATTGGGGCAGTCATGAAGAGTAGAGTAGATTTTAGCTGAGCACTTGCTCAATTCCAAGTGATCTAAAACTTATCTCCGGAAGACATACGTTATAGATCAAGTAGCAGTGGTCATAGTGGTGAGCAGTAGTTGTCACTGAGGTTCTTGTGTAGGTTACTCTTTGGTAATAGACTGTAATCTGTTTTCCTTATGGAGTTACCAATTGTAGAATGGACATGACAACTAGAATTGCAAGGATATTACAAATCAGGTTTTATTCTGTGGCCTCTTGAGTAAACCAAACTCACAACGTTTGCTTCTGGGAAAAACAAAGATCTTGAATGGTGATAAAGAAGATAAAAAATGCATAAAGTGCATTTAATATGCTTTAATTTAATTTATTACTACTTGTCATTATTTAATAAGTGTTTCAAGGTGACATAACAAATCAAGGATTGTTTAAAACCCTGACATTTAGAGTTCGAACATTTCTGGTAATTTCGTTTGCTTTTTAGTGTTTCCCCAAGGTTAGTGGATAATTCAGAGGTTAAAAAAAAGATACTTTGAGAAAACAAAGAGATATCACAGAAGTTTAAAGATTTTTTTTAATTAAAAGTATTTTGTACTTTTCTATTTCATTCAAAAAATTGTCAGCGAACCCATCTCTTTCAATCTACTCTACGTTTTTCCATTTCTTTGTATCTCTCTTTATTTCTCTTTATCTTATATAGATATATCAATATATAATAATAGAAGATATATTAATCTAATTGATATTTTATATATGAGGAGAGAGATCAAGAAATATCAAAGAACCTAGAATAGACATAGATATGCTAACAATATATTAGCATATTCTAATATATACATAATGTCAATGTAAGCATCTATGATATATTAATCCAATCTCAGTGTGGATGTGTGTGTTAACTGACTTAGCTTTTTCCTTTCCTTCCCTTGCTTTTCCTAAGACTGGGCTATTTATATGAAATTGACATTTTAATATTTAA